TTAATAATCTGAAATACCATGATTTATATTATGTCAATACGTAATGAAAATACATGAGGTGTCTGTGTGCAGCAAAGTCATAGAAACTGCCAATATTTGAGTTTTGTTTTGTTTTTAATTTTTTTTTTAACATTTATTTATTTTTGAGACAGAGAGAGACAGAGCATGAGCAGGGGAGGAGCAGAGAGAGAGGGAGACACAGAATCTGAAACAGGCTCCAGGCTCTGAGCTGTCAGCCCAGAGCCCGATGCAGGGCTCAAACTCACGGACCGCAAGATCATGACCTGAGCCAAAGTCAGACGCCCAACCGACTGAGCCACCCAAGCACCCCTAATATTTGAGTTTTATTACCCAACTCATAATTGAAAGAAATGCTAAATATCAGTATTAGTAAAAGTAAAGATTGTTTTGTTGGTTGTTTTTTTTTTTTTCCACCAGAGAAGTTGACATAAATTCTAATTTCTATGCAGTCATGGGAATGCTTAGTTTGGAAAGGACATTAGCAATTATGTCTCAGGGGTTCTAAACCAAGATGGGTTTCACAACAATTTAGTGAATATTGAAGAAATAGAAATTCCTGGGACCTAGCCGTGACTTGTTGAATTAGAATCTCTGAAGCCAAAGCCACGTACATTTCCTATAAATCCCAAAGGTGATTCTGTTGCACAGGCAATCAAGGAATTCATTGAACTCTTAGTATTTCCAAGGAATTTCTCCAAGAATTTCTGATATATATTCCCTTTTCCACTCTCAACTTTCGTGGACCCGGTAGTTTGAAAGATTTATCTCAGTGTATGAGTTAAGTAGTCATTAATTCCTTCCTCCTATAAAAAAAGTATTTAAGATATAATTTGCATACAGTAACATTCATACTTTTTCGTGTATCGGATAATCATACATCCACAACAACTATCAAGATATGGAACAGTTATATCACCCTAAAATTTTATACAGGTAAAATTCGTAGATAGTCCTTCCCTCTCTCTTCCCTCTGGTAGACAGTCCCTGCCAACAACTGATGTGCTTTCTGTCCTAGTTGTGTCCTTTCCAGATTGTCCTACAAATGATTCATACAGGCTTTGATCTGCCCTTCTTATATTTATCATAATGGACTTGGGGTTCATGCATGGTGTTTGTGCAAAAGTAGTTCATTCCCTTCTATTTCTAAGTAATACTTATTTCATGATATTGATGCACCAAGTTTGTTTATCCATTCACCAGTTAAGGATGTTTGGATAGTCCCCATAATTTCTGACAATTATGAATAAAGCTGCTATAAATACTTACAGATTGTATATGAATGTAAGTTTTGTTTCACTTGAGTGAAATCCAGGATTGGGGTTGCTGGGTCATATGGTAAGTGTATATTTAACCGCATAAGAAACTGCCAAATTGCTTTCCAAAGTGGCTGTACCATTTTGCATTCACACACACGTGCGCGCGCACACGCACACACACACACACACACATGCACACACACACCAAACATGTTCATAACAAAATGAGGAGGGATACTTATGAGAATCACAGTCCTTATCTCTGAAATTGATCACATGGTCATAGCTGGTGTTTATTACTAACCACTTGCATTCCCCACTGTGTATTTCCTCAGCTGGTCACGAGTCTTGGAATACAGAGGAGAAATGAGGGTAAACATCGCTGAGAGCATTGCTGAGAGCATTATTTAAAATGGAGGGGGTTGAGGAAGTGCGTGTCTTCTGTCTCAAATTCTCAGAATTGTTGCGAACTCAGCTAAAATTCAGTTAACAGGTGAGGACTCTAGAGAAGTTAAGCAATTTGACTGAGATCCCAGAGCTTGAAGGGTTAGAACGCCTTCCAACGTGGGCAGAATTTCAAGGCTATAGGAGCGTTAGCCAGGGGCTTAGGGCAAGTCACACAACCTCTCAGAATTTCAGTTTGTGGTGTCACAGGGGGACAGTAAGACCTACTCTGCAGGTGGGTCATGGAGATTAGATATAATACATGCTTAGTACAGAATCCACATTCCAACAGAGCCCTCAGTGTCTTCTTCCTATTGCTTTCATTTACTATACACAATCTCTCCTTTCTAGTGTCTCAATGAGACTAACCATGAACAAAGGACTCTGCAAGGACACCGGGAGGCCGTAGCTGCAGTAAAGGACCCTGAGAACACATCAGTTTGGTCCGGGTCTGTGAAGCTGATGGAAGATGGAAACTAGACCGGGCGTGTTTATGGACTGAACAATGGGAGACCCTCAATTGACCCCTACAGAGCATTGTTCCTGGACCCCTTTGGGATTCTCAGGAGAAAACTGAGCTCACTCCTATAGAAACATAATAGCCATCACACCGACCTGTTAGAGTGCCAATGCCAGCATTAGGCTGCACATCTCATCTCATCCTCACTGCACAACCCCAAGAAGTAAGGATTTTTTTGCCTATTTCATAGAGGAGGACATAAACCTAAATCTACTTGACTCCTAAGCCTATGATCTTAAAATATTGTCCTTTTTAGAAAAGATTTTTTAGAAAAAAAAAAAAAAAAAAGAGGGGGAGGGATCAATTCAATACGCTGTAGGCAAAAGAGGAAATATTATTATGTAAGTAGTTTTTCACACATTTCCTGAGTAAGGAACCAGAACTGGAAACTAGAAAGCTGTGCATGTGCGTGTGTGTTCTCACTGAACCCCGTCCCCACCCTCATCCCCCCACACCCCCCACCCGCCATCTTTTCCCTCAGTCTTTTCTTTCTCTCTGTGGAGCACCTCCCAACACTTCCTCAGCCCTGTGTAGAATTAGCCACTCCACAGTTCTGAGGTTATAGGCTACTGGCCCATCCTCTCATGAAGATTTCTTTTCCAGTTAGCAGGAGAAGAATCTTTTATTTATTTACATATTTATGTATGTATGTATTTATTTATGACCCAGGTGTGAAATCTGAGGGGTGTGAAATCTGAGCTGGGCCACAGAAATTCTTGAGAGTCCAGCCCACTTGTATATGGGAGTCTTGTATACCCCCACAGTGTGCTCACCTGTCTCAGTGTGGACACCTCCAGGACAGCCAGTTTAATTGTGGGCATCCTGGCTGTTAAAATATCCTCCTTTACACTGTTCTTACCTCTATTAAGTCTCCTTCACGGGGCCTACCAAGGCTGAGGGCAGCCCTGGGAGGTGGCCTCAGCCCCATGGTTCGTCCCACCCCAGCCCCTGGGCCACAAGCTCCGGTCATCAGTGTTCCTCTGAAACAGGCGAGACTACCACCCTCCAGCTCCAACCTCTGGGCAAGATTTCCCTACTGGTTTTCAGCCCAGCACACGGTGGCTGGTGCTGAGGGGGACATATTGCTCCAGAGGAAGACCCATTGTGGGTTGCTCAGGGGCAGAGGCAATGTTGAGGCAGGGGGTGGTAATGGGGACTCCTCTGCTCCTGAGGATTCACAGGGAGGCAGGGACCCCAGAAAGGCCCAGTCAAGAGGGGAGGCACAGAGCCCGACCCCGACCATGGCCCAGCTCAGTCACAGGCTCTGATGGCGGTCTTTCTGAGGGCCTAGCCAGTGTTGTGGGTGGAGGGGAAATTGTGGACAGGGCGTTCTTTGAGAGGGGTGAGGGCTTTGAGATGGAGGGGGTTTAGTGAGAGGAATGAGGGTTCAATGAGGGAGGGGGTTCATTCGTGAAGGGTCCATCAGTGGTGGGATGGGGGTGACTGGTGAGAAGACTGGGTCTCGGGATGAGTGATGACAGAAAACTACAGGCATTTTTTCCCCCAACTTGGGGGAGTGGGGGTGGGGGAGGGGGCTCTGTGTTGCAGCCTGGGCCTTTTTCCATCCTACCCCCACGACCTCCACCTACAATCCTCTGTGTGTGTTGTGTCTTGAAGTGGAGGGAAGTGTGAATGAGAGAGAGAGAGAGAGAGAGAGAGAGAGAGAGAGAAGATGGGCTCTGTGCAGACATCAAGGGCAGTGGGGCGGGGGGGGGGGGTGCAGGTGGGGTGGTGTCAGGACAGAGTCAGAGACACTGCTCCACCCAGAGCTTAGTCTCATACCCCAGAACCAGCTGGCCCAGAGCCTCCATTTTGACCCTCCCGGGAGAAGAATCCTATTGGACCAGCTTGAGTCAGGTGCCTTCCGAAGTTCATACTGGTTGAGGACCAACAGGATCAAGGGGAGCAGGAGCCACCTTGGTGCATTGCTGAGCAAGGAAAAAGGGGACTGATGCTCAGGACGGATATAGACACTGGAAAGCGTACCCTCCACAGCTATGCTACTTTCCCATAAGACGTTCAAGCATTTGTTCATTTCAGGTAATTCAAACCGAGCGCGGCCTGTATTAACACAAACATGGATTGAGGAAGGCGTAATGAAGACGTTAGATGCTTAAAGACACTGAGTTAGGTAGAGAAACTAGTAAATCTAGAAAATCTAGAAACTAGCAAATCTCTGCAGTGCTGTCAGGAAGAAAAAAAAAGGGCAAGCCACCTACGGAATTTTAATTTTTTTTCTTTTTTTTTTCAAGGTTTTTATTTTATTTTTGGGACAGAGAGAGACAGAGCATGAACGGGGGAGGGGCAGAGAGAGAGGGAGACACAGAATCGGAAACAGGCTCCAGGCTCCGAGCCATCAGCCCAGAGCCTGACGCGGGGCTCGAACTCACGGACCGCGAGATCGTGACCTGGCTGAAGTCGGACGCTTAACCGACTGCGCCACCCAGGCGCCCCTGGAATTTTAAACATTCTAGCAGTCACATATTTTCTTTTTTTCTTTTCAGCTTTTATTTATTTTTGAGAGAGAAAGAGAACACGCACGGGGTGGGGAGAGAAGGAAGGGAGGTGGGAGAGGATCCCAAGCAGGCTGTGTGCTGTCAGCACGGAGCCGGATGCAGGGCTCCAACTGAACTCACGTGCCATGAGATCGTGACCTGAGGCCAGAGACAAAATCAAGAGTCAGACGCTTAACGGACTGAGTCACCCAGGCACCCCACTGGCAGCCAGGTGTTTCAAAAAGTGGATGGAAAAAGATAAAATTCATGTTAGTAATACGTTTTATTTAACTCAACATCTAACATATTATCATTTCACCATGTAATCAATAACATTAATGAGCTGTTTTACATTTTTTCTAAGTATTCAAATACTGATATATAATTTACAGTTAGAGCAGATCTCAATTTGGATGCAATATTTTCATTGGAAATACCTGATCTGTGTTCAGATTCCCTAAAATACACATTGCACAAATACAGCTGTATTCACATGGTCCGCTATCCTTGCTACCTCTCATTTCTTATGTGGGATGAAATGAATTCTTGTCGGGGTTTCCGGTTATCGCTCACTGAGTTGGTCCATCACCCACACCGTTTTTCTTATGTGAAAGTGATCATGGATCAAAATGACCATGCTGAGATTGTGAGCCCCTACTCTGCAAAGAAAAAAAAAAAAAAAAAAAGCTGGAAACTGGGAGCTACATTTGTTCACCTCCTTGCTTGGTTTACGTGATAACAAATACCTTTTTTTTTTTTTTTCCATAGATTAACTGAACTGAGTAGGTTGGAAATTATTGGGATTGTATTGTTACTTTCTTTTTCATTGAAACAATCCAGTTTCCTTAGGGAGAGCTTTTTCTTTGCCCCCTGTAACTCAATAATTGCATATAGTGGGTCGCGGGGTGCTGACAGTGCAAAGGACTCGTGGCCAAACACAAGCAGCTAACACTTGTCCCTTCCTGGCAATACTTGAGGACAGCTTGGATCAGCAAGGAGGCAGCAGCTCCTGTAGGGAACACCCAGCAAGGCTTTGGGTTGAATGACAGGTCATGAGCTGCCGGTAGAAGGCGGGTCTACAGAATGGTCTTACGGAATGTTCTCTAGAATCATGTAAAGACAGCACAGATCTAACCACTCCTAGTCTGGTGCCAGGGAAAGCTATTTCCGCCGAAAACATGGGTGCCAGAGCCACCAACGCTGTCCTCACATTCTCCTCTCCTTGGGATGGCTCAGCCTGGTGGGGCCTCGGATTTTTTTAATCTTTTTCTTATTAGTTTTTTGATTCGAGGAGGGAAGAGACAGCTCCAGCTCCCTTTTCTTGGCATCCCAGTCTTCGTCCCTCTGGTCCAGAGGCAGCCCCTTCTGCCTGGCAGAGCGGCGATGGTCCTGGCACTCGGGCTCGGCCCTGGAGAAGGGCAAAATGGCAGCTCTCAGTACCCAGATGGGAGAGCCTGTGTGGGCAAGATGGCGGCTCTCAGTACCCGGCTGGGACAGCCTGTGTGGGCAAGATGGCGGCTCTCAGTACCCGGATGGGAGACCCTGGGCTGACATCGACGTGGGTGTCTCTTCCAGCCCTCTGCACACAGCCTGGCCACCTCAGGAGTCCCGGAGAGAAAGAAGGGGGCCGAGCTCCAGCATCTCCAAGTGTACGCTTCGGGACCTCGGACACTAAAGAAGCTACTGAGGTGGAGAAAAATGGCATACCCAGAGTGGGAAGTTCATAGAAGGAAGGGCGCTTAGCGTGAAGACGACACTGCTAATGCTGAAGGACTCACATTCACAGAGCCACCAGCATATTACTAGGATGCTGTTTTCCTTCGTTTCTTTTTCCCTTGTATTTTTTCCTTAATTATAAAACCATGTACATTTGTTGCATAAGATTTTATTTTTTTATTAAAAAAATTTTTAATGTTTACTTATTTTTGAAAGAGTGAGAGTGCAATTGTGAGAGGGACAGATGGAGAGGGAAACGCAGAATCCGAAGCAGGCTCCGGGCTCAGCTGTCAGCACAGAGCCCCACGCAGGGCTAGAACCCACGAACTGAGAGATCATGACCTGAGCCAAAGTTGGTGCTTAACGGTCTGAGCCGCTCAGGCACCCTTGTTGTATAAGAATTTAAAATATGGAAACATTTAAAACAGAAAGAAAAGTACTCATAATCACATATGATTATTTGTATATAGAAGGATTTGTGAAAAGAATACTTACACGATATATAGATAGGTGATAGATACGGAACAATAGAAGAGGTAAGAGAGGAATGGGTAAATAGGTCATCATACACACATGGACGAAGGAAAGCAGACAACAGTATCATTTGAAGTAGTTCAGGTACAAAGTTTTATAAACAGCACAGTTCGATAAGGAGATAGCAAACCTGCTTGTCCCCTTAACAACAAGAAGTGACCGCTCTGTATTTAGACCACATAACATCCTTCCTCTGCCCTGCTCTTTTTGGGCTTTGCCACCTTCTATCCCATAGTAGCACTATTTATGTAAACAAGTATCTCTCCTCTCACACAGGGAACTTGACATCCAACACTGTATCTGATTTATCTTTAAATCCTTTGTGGTATCGAGTTCAAAGCAATGGGCATGGTAGGTAGGGCTCCAAAATATTTGTTGAATGCACGGCTTAGAGGAAGCCGAATCAAAAGTTGAATTATTTCACTAGGACCCCTAGGATATTCAGCAAGTTGTCAAGTACTGTCTAGGCTTTTTCTGAAATTCTCTTATATCCTTTCTTTTCGTCATCCTAGCCCAGGAGATCACCTACTTGCAACATGAGGCATTAAGAAACTCCTCAGTGACCTCCCTACTTACGGTCTGAGTGCCTCCAATCCTCGCTGCATACCACCCCTGCTGTCTCTTCCCCTCCAGAAGGGACTTTGCTAGAGCATCTGTTACCTCTCCTCAATGCCTGGATGAGTTCACACTCATCTGCTCGCCCATCCCATAATGGTCACCCACCCACCCAACCGTATTCTCCACTTCTCTCTAGCATGAGTGGTGTACTCAGCCAGGCCACTCATCCTTTCACTCCCCCTCCACTCCCTCACACGTCTGCACAACCTCTGCATACTTCCAACTTGCTGCCCTTCTCTCCAAATCAAGACTCTTTCTCCCTTCTGCATTAGTCAGGCCTTAGCTATCTTTCAAGGTCCCGATTAATTTCCTCTTAACCAGGATTCCTTCTCTCTAACCCCTTTCAACTGTCAAAAGGGAAGTTCCACATGGAAGATGATGATACCTAAACATGACTTACACGTGATGTGGCTGATCGTTGTTGTTTTTGTCGGCTCAGCCCTGCAGGCCCACTTTTCCTGGTAATAGCACCCCCCCCCCCCCCCCCCTCTTTGGAGGAACCACCCATCCTCCACTTCAGTGATGCTGGGCTCATGTATCATGCTTACCCACCCACGGGTCACTAGGAAGGGGATGAGATTATGCAGAGAGGTTCAGCAGAGGACAGCCAAGGATAAGATGCTGAGGAATTTCAGCATCTAAAAGGCCAGCGAGAATCAGAGCCCAAGAGAGTCATGAGAAGAAATGATCAGATAGGTACAAGGGGAAATAGAAGGGAGTAGCATCAGAGAGGATAAAAAGTCATCCAAGGAGACATGCCAAAAGAGAAGGGCAGTCAAATACCAAATTAAGGGAGATGAGAACTGATAAGAGGTCACTCATTTAGCAACAAGGACCTCCCCGGATGAGCATTGATTCATACAACAGTGGGGCAGAAGCGCAAAGGTGGGTGAGGAAGGAGAGACGATTACACAGATTAACATTCAAGTAGCACAGAAATGCAGGAAGAGAAAAGAAACAGCAGACAGCAGAAGGACCTCTAATCGTTTGTGTGTTTGTTCAGGAAGATCTATTTGAACAGGTTCCAAGGCCAATGAGGACTGAAGGGAAGGAGTAGAAAAAAAGCCAAAAAGACAGAAGAGAGGATAAAAGATGCAACAGAGAGTATGGGAACGATGGCCTTGTAGGAGGTACAAAGATTTGGGTCAGGGCCTATATGGAGAGATAACACTTCTCCCAGAAGGACAGACAGGAAGGTAAGAAGGAACAGATGTGGTGTATATACCACATGTAGGTGTAGGAGGTTGAAATACATATGCTCTTGGCTTCAATCTTCTCTATGAAGGGGAAAGCCTACTGCCTGAGGAACAGGTGGAAGTACGATGGGGACGTGAGTCGTCAATGAAGGAGCAGGACAAGAAGGGATAGTCCAACTGTTCCGAGGGCTCAGAATCCCAGAATTTCTGATGGTGCCTGTGTACGTCGTTGTGGGCTTTTCTCCACCAGAACAGGCACAGGAGTGGAGAAGACAGACACTGACTCAAGGGCGGGAATGCTGGGTCATATGGTACAGAAGGACAAACGGTTGGAAACTTAAGAATCATGGGAACAGAGTGGAAGAAGCAGTGAATCATGGCGTCCAGATGGCAGATAGACGGAAGATCGTGGAACCTTCAGGCAGGCGACGGATCGGGAGGGAAAGAAGAAGCTGAATGAGGAGAGGTCTTGATGCATTCAAATCCCCGTGTGGTGATCCAGGAACTGGCAAAACGAAGAGAGGGCACCACGCTCACATAGTGATATGTTAAGAGTTTTTAAAAGTTCAGAGAACAATGCTGCAGATGCTGAGGTCCACAATGGATGACACTCACTGAATGTAGGGGATGATGCAGGATTGGGGAGAAGGGCCTTCGAGTCAGGACTCAAGGTTCTGTCTCTTTAACCTCCAAATCACCTCAATCATGATATTTATTTATTTATTTTTGAGATACAGAAAGAGAGACCGAGCACGTGCATGTGTACATGTGGCAGAGGGCAGAGAGAAAAGGAGAGAGAGCATCCCAAGCAGGCTTTGTGCTCAGCACGGAGCCCAACACGGGGCTTGACCCCACAACCCTGGGATCATGACCTGAGCCAAAATCAAGAGCCGGGGGTTTCACAGACTGAACCACCCAGGCACTGCTTGAGTCTTTTTTACTGTGGAACACCTTCTTAAGAGAAGGTCTCTTTGGTTACTTCTACAGATATCTAACCTCATTGTAAGCTACTATTTTACTTTACAGAAGATAACTTTATCTTCAAGTTCTTAGAAGGTGATTTCACGGTCATCCCCCCTCCCCACCATGAACTGCCCTGCCCTGGAGTCAGATTTGCTACGCATCTCATTTTGGTTTTCAGGCAACGCCACCCTCATTCTGTTACTTTACTGCCTCGTGTACGAACTACTGATTAACCCAACCGGATCATAAATTCCTAAACGTTATTTCCATGCCTCCCGAAGCTGTAACTGTCACGTGCGTAACTGACACTTAATTCCATTTGAATGTGTGGGTGAGAGAAAAGATTAACAAGTGCTAGAAGAGTCCTTATGTTTGGTGAGTGTGAGAATAGAAGATTCATAGGCGAACAGCAATTTTAAAAGGTAGAAGGGACCTTACAGCTGATAGCCTAATTCACCAGGTTCATTTTTAATACGAAAACTGAGCCAGCAAGGTGGCTTAACTTGCCCAAGGTCACAGAGCTAGTATGAATACCTTTCAGGAATCTGCAGGGGCTGCATGAATCTTGTCCCACGCCCCATTGGCAAACTTGGTGTCTCACCTCTCTTATCTGAGATAATTTTTGTACAATCTAAAATAGTAATTATAACAATGAGATGTTGTTAACATTATTATAAATATGTATCATTAAAATAACTATAATTTTGGTATAATACAAAAACAATAGATGTCACATAATCTGCAGCAATGTCCCTTCCACCCAAACTAGTCATTTCTGTGAAAAGTTCATAAAAACAACTCAGACAACTGTTAGCTGAATTTGCTCATTCCCTTGGACGGAGCCGAGACCACTGAGTTGGCAGATATCTTGATCACAGGCTCCTGTTTCTCTGCCACTTCTCTAGCCGGAAATAAAGGAAACTTACTTCTCCAGAAACGCCACACAGGCGGTCTGCCCATAGATCTGTGCGATCCTCTTCGGCGTGTCTCCAAAGAAGTCGGGGGCGTCGATGGCCGCATGCAATGCATGGAGAATTTTGAGCACACTCACATGGCCTGACTCAGCTGCAAAATGAGCCGGGGTCCAGCCCACATCAGTCACAAGGCAGGGCCTGGCTCCGTATTCTATAAGGAGCTGCATCACCTCCACATGCCCTTAGATGTAACGGGAAGAAACGGGAGGAGGTTAAGATTAAAATGTCTCTGCCCCCGCGGAGGCCAGAACTAGCCTAGGTTGTCCAAAAGAAGGGAAGACATTTGCTGGGAAGCCCCTCCTCACCCTCCCTCTCCTTCCGCCCTCCCTTTCTTACCAGGGACTCAGTGCCCCACTTTCACCCCATGAACCTTGCTCCTACCAGAGGCCTGGGCGCTCCAACTATTCCCTCTACTCCCTCCCTCCAGGGCATTCCCTTCCCCCCAATCCCTTCCTAGGAATCTTGCTTTCCCTCCTAAGGCGCTGTATTCATGCCTGTAGGGCACTGGTCAGGCTCACTCAGCTTTTGGCAGTGTCAATGGTGATTGAAAAACAAACATTTTGCAACAACAGGGATGGGCCTTGAGGGCACTACGCTGAGTGGAAATAAGCCAGAGAAAAAGAAATACTTTAGGATCTCACTTGGACACGGAATCTACAACAACAACAGCAACAACAGAAACCTCACACACACACACAAACACACCAATATCACTGGTTCAGTGAACAAACTGGTGGGTGCCAGAGGTGGGGGGTGAGGGGCCGGAGAAACGAGTAAAGCCCGGCAAAAGGCACAAACATCATTATAAAATAAGTAAGTCCCGACGATGCAACGTACCACAGGGTGACTATAGCTAATGAGACTGTGTTGCAGATTGGAAAGCTGACAAGAGAGCAGATCCTAAAACTTACCAGAAGAAAGCTTTTTGGTAACTACAAATGGTGACAGATTTTAACTTCAGTTACTGTGGTGCTCATTTCGCAACGCATAAAAAAGTTTAGTCACTGTGTTGTTGTGCATCTGAAACTGATATAATGCTGTATATTAATTACACCTCAATAAAAAATATTTTAAGTCCCACCGACTTTATAGTTAGCACCAGTCAAGAGCCCAGGCTTTTGGGGACGACGGATGTGGGCTCATACCTGCCAGTAAATAACAGCTGCTAACTACGGCATCCCGGACGAGAAACGAAGGTGTGAGGCTCAGTTTCCTCATTTGGCAATTAAAAATATTATCACCTCCCTCAGTGAGTTCTTGTGAAGTACGAATGAAATCACAGACATAATGTATACAGCACAGTGCCCAGCATAAAGCCAATGTTCACTAAAAGGTGCTTCATTATAGCTACCATCACCTTGTACTTAAGTTTCTGCAAAATTCTACCAACTGATTTCTCTGCATCCAGTCTTGCTTCCTGCCAATCCATTCTCCATATAGAAGTCAAAACAAAATTTTAAAAAGCAAACGGAACACTCTCTTACTTGACATCCTTCCATGGTGTTCCATTGCTGAAGGCCTTGATAGGCCCATTGGCTGCTTTTGCTACTATCCTCGGTGAATTCTGTAACCGAGCCATGTGAGGCATGGGGGTTATAGCGATGAACAAGGCAGAGTCCCCGTCCGACCTCGGCAATGATGTTCCCTTTCTTGTTGGAGGTCAAGAGGGCAGAAGACTAATATCAATTGAGAGCAAGTTATGGGCTGGGCACTGTACATCCATTATCTTAGTGAACCCTCACCACAAGATTCCAAGGTAGCATCAGTTTCCATTATGTAGATAACTCACTTAAGGCCCAGAGACATTAAATAATTTGCTGAAGGTGCTACAACCAGTAAGTGGCAGTGCCAGGGTTGAAATGTTCCATTTGGCTCTCAAGAAATGTTCTTTCTACTACCCCACACAGACTGGTCACTTCACAAAAAGATAGATTCTACCCAGGCACTGCCCACTCACCTTTGATTGCAGCCCAGTGAAGTGGAGTTCGGTCATTCCAGTCCACATCCTTGTAGTTTGGGTCACAGAGACCTTTCTTCAAAATCTTTTTCACGAAACTGTAATCCCCAACAGCCACAGCTTGGTGGAGCTTTGTCATGTCTGACATTTTGGTCGATTCCATGACTGAAATAATGGGGGGGCGGGGGGAACATGCCCTTTAGGAAGTTCTCTACAGCTCTTTCTTCTCAGTAAGTGATTCCACGGGATTCTTTACCATTTACTTTCTTTCTCAGCTCACAAATTTGCATGTGTGTGCGCTGCTGAGGGTGTATTTGGATCTCAGCCACCATGGTTAGTACATGCCAGTCCCTTACCTAAAATCTATCGACGCTCCCCTCTGCCTCCAGGCATACAGGCTGAATTCATGGGCTGGCATTTTCTATTTGGCCTCAAACCACTTTCCAGTGCTATCTCCAGTTCCCGTTCCAAAGGGCTGGTAGTGCGATTCTGAATTAGTTGTGTGATTCTGCGCCTTGGCTTTCTCATCTATAACCTGGAGACAACTTGCCGGAGTTGTTGTGAGGGTACAATGACAATCTATGTGAAAAGTCTACTGACTGAATGCAGAGAAGGGACTCCAGAGAAAGTTAATACTATTGGCACACCAATTCAGATGGAGTAGATGTAAACATGCAAACAACACAGCTACAAGTTATCTACAACATCAATGCAGAAACCGACAGTTCTCAAACTATAGTCTACAGATGCTTAGGAATCTCTAAGACTCTTTCAGGGGATGCATGAAGTCAAAACTATTTTCATTCTAATGTGAAAATGCCATTGGCCTTGTTCACTGTGCCGACATTTGCCCTGAGGGTTGAAAAGCAATGAGGTACAAAGCTGCTGTTGCCTCAGCATGAAGCCAGGCAGTGGCATCACACACGTAGAGTCAAAAACAAACGAAAAGGGGGGCACCTGGGTGGCTCAGACGGTTAAGCGTCCGACTTCAGCTCAGGTCATGATCTCACAGTTCGTGAGTTCGAGCCCCGCGTCGGCTCTGTGCTGACAGCTCGGAGCCTGGAGCTGCTTCAGATTCTGTGTCTCCCTCTTTCTCTGCCCTTCCCCTGTTCATGCTCTGTCTCTGTCTCAAAAATAAATAAATATTAAAAACAAAAAAAAACAAAAAAACGAAAAGGTAGTTTCAACCAAGAAACTAAAGTAGTAAGAACTATGCATGTTGACCCTTAATTGCATGACTTCACAAAAGTTATTTTAAAAGATTCTGTAACAAAATGTGTCAACATTTGGGAAGTCTGCATAACTCCCTGAACTGATGTCTTCCAAATGACAAGTGGATGATGTTACAAAATCATGCATGAGTAAAGAGACCCATTCAAGATAGACCTGTGGATTTTAGTGAGACAGAGGACAAAAAATACACTGAGGTTGTTTCAGATTCCAAGTCACTAAAAAGCACAGCCATGTGTCAGTTTGGGCATAGTATCAGGGAATATCCGCAGTTATCTGAAAAGGCTACAAAATACTCTTCCCTTTTCCAATATATGTAGAACCAGATTTTCTTTCAATATTTCAGCCAAAACAACAAACTGAATACAGAAGATCTAAGAACCCACCTATCTTCTATTAAGCCACATATTATAGGGATTCAACTACATAAACACATACATACATACATACATACATACATACATACATAAACAATGTTACTCTTCTCATTTCTTTTGCTTTAGAAAATGTAATTATTTTTCATAAAAATATTTTTGTTATTGTATATTAGGCTTATTATGATTTTTGTAAGTGACTTAATAAACATTTAAATTTTTTCTCAGTTTTAATTTCTAATAAGGTAAATAATAAGGTAACGGAGTCCTGAGACCAACAAGTTTGGGAATTACAGATATAAACAAAATAAGGATTGGGATAGACATTTTTTAAATGTTTACTTATTTTTGAGAGAGAGAGAGAGAGGCAGACTACAAGTGGGGAAGGGGCAGAGAGAGAGGGAGACACAGAATCCGAAGCAGGCTCCAGGCTCTGAGCCGTCAGCACAGAGCCTGACACGGGGCTCAAACCCACAAACTGTGAGATCATGACTTGAGCCGAAGTCCGACGCTTAGCCAACTGGGCCACCCAGGCGCCCCAGGGGTTGGGATGGAATTAAAGAATGAGGAGAGAGCCACTTGCGGTGGGGCCAGCGAGAATGTCTCTTTGATCCCAACATTTCAGTTGAGATCTCAAGAAGAATTTGGAGTCAGCCAGACACACTGTGGCCCAGCAGCAGCAGCACCTAGGAATTTATTAGAACTGTGAATTATTGAGCCTCATATCAGACCTCCTGATGTAGACGGAAATATGAGGACAGCCCTAGAGGGGGAGAGAAGTGCGTAACATAATTAACATGCAATGTCCTAAATGTTATAATGGCAGTGATTTTTCTGGGGACAGAAGGAAAGGACATTTCCCCAGGACTAGGAAGTGAAAGGGACTTTTTTCCAAAAGTGACCTAAGCCAAGTCCCAAAAGGATGAGTAAGAGTCTTCTCGGGCATGGCCGTAGTGGAAGATCCAGCCCAGGCAACAGCTCATCTGGAGTGGGGAGGGAGGCACATTCTGCAAAGAGCAAGTGGCTCTCACTTTGACGTACAGACCATGGATCCACAAATGTTTCCAATAAAGGGCTGGATAGGAAACTTCTTAGCCTTTATAGGCCAAGAGGCAAAACTCAAGGCTATTATTTAACGTTACCTAACTATTATGCAACAAGAGAAAACCTCTTGCCAGAGGCGGGCCATCCTGGGAGGGGAAGGATCGGTGGTGGTGGGTGAGCGTCCTTTGTGCCCAGTCACGCTCAGCTGGAGACATTCTCAGGGCCAAGAGCAACCAGCCCGGGGAGGAGGGGTCTGGCTGAAAGGATGGTCACTTGCCCTTTACTCCAGTGATGCCCAGATCCCAGCATGCCCTCTCTCCTCTCCAACAGCCCAATCAGTTCAAGTTGACAGCTGGTGGGAGGCAAGGTAACTTGGCTGGACCATTCCTATTGCTCACTGCTGACAGCAGAGTCCCCAAAGTGTAGGTGCTGACCAGCAGGGTCCTGGGCAGGGACTAGGCACAGCCGTGAGCTCAGCGGACAAGTGCTAAGAACAGACTAGGGAGCAGTTAGCTCTCCAAAGCTCACCGTGCTTGCCCCCCGAGAGCCACCATCATAAGTGGTGACCGCATGCCTGAAAACATGGAGCGAGCCACACTTGGCCCGTAGACCGTAGTTTACCAACCTCTGGTCCATATAAAGCATCTGGGATCTTGTTAAAATGCAGATTCTGATTCAGTAGGTCTAGGAGGAGACCTGAGAGCCTGCATTGGTAGCAAGTCAACACGACAACTACCAGTTCATAGACCGCACTGAGTAGCAATGTCTCTGGCTACAAGGCAGGGGAGAGACTTGAAGTAAGGGAGAAGCAGTAAGGATGCGGCTGTTGTTCCTCACTGAAGGACTACGTGAAAATTACTGGTGAGTTTTAAAAAATAGATGCCCCGGCCTCGGCCTGAAGTGCTTCAGAGTCATTAGATGTGTCGGACAAGGACGTGCCTTTTTGCATGAAGTGAGCGCTCAGTATATGTTAGGTAAGAGAAGATGGCATGGGATGTGTTTCCTCTTTTTGGCTTGTTTTAGTAAGAAAACCCTTACACCGGAAGATTTGATCGATGATAAATCAAATAGTGAACAAGTGCTGGAGGCTTTCCGACCTGCAGGTGTCACAAAAACCAAACCATTTTTAGAATCAGTTGTCTGGAAGCCTCTGCTTACATTTCACGCCAACCTTTAACCAGGTTTGGGCTTAAATCAACTCCATCGGGGTCACGTTTGTGTTCATACCAAGGAAATTCCACAACTTCCCACAGAGAAGCTGCAATTCAAGTAGAAGTGTCCAATGAGTAGCTACATTTATTTGCAGAGAAATTGATGAAGTGATCCTAAAACTTCATATGGAAATACAAAGGGCTCAGAATAGGCCAAACCATCTTGCAAAAGACCACAGTAGGAGGACTCAAACTTCCCGATTTCTAAACTTACTATAAAGACACAGTAACCAAAAAAGTGTGATACAAAGTACACTGTGTGGCATAGAAATAGATACAGAGAGAGAAAAGGGACATAATTGGGAGTCCAGAAATAAACGCTTACATTATGGTCATTTGGTTTTCAGCAAAGGTGCCAGGAAAATCATAGTCTTTCCAAATGGTGCTGACACAGTTGGGTCACAGTGACACAGAGACACTGACACAGTGAATGCTTGAGTGTTCACATACTCAAGAATTCAGTTAATCCTTTCCCTCATGCCACACACAAAACTTAACTTAAAATGAATTGCAGACTTATAGAAGACCTAAAACTAAAACACTTAGAAGAAAACATGGGAGCAAATCTTCATTACTTTCGGTCAGACAATGAAACGGTTCACAGACAGGATGGCAAAAGCACAAGAAACAAAAGAGAACAAACAGATAAATTGAATTTTATCAAAATTAGAAACTTTTTTTCTACAAACAATACCTTAGGAAAAGTATAAAAGCAAATATGGAATGGGAGAAAATATTTGAAAATTATATATCTGATAAGAGATTTGTATCCAGAATACAGAACTCTTACAATTCAACAACAAAAAAAGAAAGCTCCATTAACAATCGTCAAGGAATATAAACAGAAGTTTCTCCAGAAGAATAGGCAACATGAAGATACGCACAAAATAATAAGCACCTGAAAAAAATGCTCAACGTCAATAGTCACGAAGGAAATGCAAATGAAAACCATACTGAAGCACCACTCACCCCCTCTAGAATAACTGTAATCAAAAAGACAGACAATGTCAAGTGTCACTGAGGCTGTGGGGAAATTGAACCCCTCACAGATGTGGTAGGGATATAAAATGGGGCAGCTGCTTTGGAAGACAGTTTGGCAGTGCTTCAAAAAGTTAAACATAGACTTATCATATGACCTGTAACGCCACACTTAGCTATGCACCTACAGAAATGAAAATATATATCCACCCAAAAACTTGTTACACGCACGTTTCCAGCAGCATTATTCATAATAGCCAAGAGTGGAAACAACGCAAATGTCCCTTAGTAGGTGAATGCATGAATAAAATGTGGGAGTTCATACGATGTAACATTATTTGACAAAGGAAAGGAATAAAGTACTGACACCTGATACGACACGAACGGACCTTGAAAACACGCTAAATGAAAGAAGCCAGGCGCAAGAGACCACACATTGTAAGATTCCAATTATGTGAAGTGTCCAGGATAGGCAAATCCACAGAGATAGAGAGTAGATTATTGATTGCCTGAACTGGGAGGAGGCGG